GGTAACGCGATCAAGAGACACCAACGGGTTCGAGGAGGTACATGCAAAGCTCTGCAGCCACACGTTGCAATCTGCAACATGTTCATGTATAGGTATTAACGACTACCTGACGGGTTACCTGTACGCTGAGTGTACATACTTTGAGTACATACAGCCTCAGCCAGCAGGGATGTGCAGGCCTGAGCGCAGATCGGCCTGGGCAGCTCGTAGCTCGTGGTTGAAGTGGGTGGTGCCGCAAAGTTCAACCGTACAGGAATGAGTCTGTCCACAAACCTACACCTGGGAATTAATAGTGTCCCACAAATTTTAATCAGTCGCTCTTTGCTTCTTGCGAGTACATGTAGGACGTCTAGCCATTCGATGCGGTAGACCGCTTTCGTAAACGCGCCTACACGGTCGAATTAACAAGCAAGGCTTTGATCTGGGATCACCGATCTGACAGTTACATCGAAATTTATCATCGCGGTTGTACACATTGAAATGCTATCAGACAACATTAACCTTTTCGTTTCTCGGTTTGTATGTAGCACGGTCGAGTAACCAAAACGACTCCCGACAGCAACGACGTTTCAAGCATTTGTGTTGTCTGGCTTAAAGGATATGTGCACTTCATCCGCAGAAGCTCGAACTTGCTTCACCTAGGACTGCCGAAAAAAAATTGATGGTGCAATTATTGCAATAAACTTGCACGGTAATTTATTTTGTAACTTTAACCGCTAGCTAACAGTTATTTATTGAGCTGAACCTTTTAAGCTCAATAATATATTGGAGCTCTCTACAGCCACCCATACCAATGTGACACTGTCTTTCCACTCTTCCCCACTCACAGCACTTTCAAACGTACATGAATCCGAAGACACTAACCTCCAAAGATGCTCGCTGCCCCTCGAGCTTCCCGTCCTGCCATCTTTACTAACAGGCAGGTGTCTAGCTTCTGCTACCGGCCGTGCCGCGACAAGTACGACGAGGTTATCCTCGAGTACTTTCGCTGTCGGTGCGGCGCGGTCCGGAAGCGTGCCCCTGGCTTGGGATTCACGAACCTGATGCAACACACCAGGCGCGAGCACCCCGCGGTTGCCGCGGAGATGCTGGAAGCAACTCTCGGAGAGACTGAGTCTCTCTATCACTATGTCCGCCACTCCACCCAGAACACGTTCGGGCGGCTAGAGTGGATCGTCATGGGCAACCTGCCTCTCTTATTCTCCAAGAACAGGCTCGCACGACGGTACATTCAAAATGTGACTATGTATATGTAACTTCTGACTTACTGGATAACATCCTATTGCATTTTGCGATATGTTATCAGGTACACAAATCTGGAACCCATCTCGGTAGAGACGCTCCGGCGTTCCGTGGAAGCGGTGACTCACTCCGTCGTGCGTGTGATCGCTGAGGATATCCCGGAGCGTTTCGGTACCATCTTTGACGGGTGTAGCCATGCCACTGAGCATTTCATCGCCGTCTTCGCGTGGTATGAGGTGAACGGAGAGATTCGCTGTCCGCTCCTTAGCATGGCTCCACTCGTCAATGAGGACACCGACGATTTCGTCGGTCGCAACGCATCGAGACTTTCTAGGCGCGATGCTATTGCGAGACTACAACAAGCGGCTCCACTAGTGCGTCTTACTGCTCATTAAATCACCGACTCGCCATTCTCATGAACGTTCCCCTGATTGGCTGTGCTAACCACCGTCTCAACCGAGCAATAACCGCACAGCTGAGCGAAAATGCCGACGATCTTGCCTTAGTCCAGACCCTAATGCCTGAACCAAGGCAAGATCGTGGGCATTTTCGCTGAAACTGCGGACAATGACACAGTCCGCGAAACTACGGTAAGTTTGTTACGTTTT